CTGGCTGGACTCATTTGAGTCCAGTTTTTCTCCCGCCCACGTGGAGGGACGGACTTGAAGATCTACAAGGTCGCTTCTGACCCTACTTCTATGATTAAGGCTGCAGCCCTTCTGTACTCTGTTCTTAACTCTGATTTAAAGTATAATGTTGCATTCTGGTGCATTAGTCTATGATAACTGAGACATATTTTTGTGAATCAGAGTCACCAATTTTGTTATAAAAGCCAGTGCTGCATCCTCTTGTTTCCAGAATTTTGTCTTTTCATCCTAATTTCCTAGTTCTTTCACTGCTTTATAATCTAAAGCAGTGATTCTCAACCAGGGTGATTAGCACCCTGAGATGCCTTGAGACCCTTTCAAGGGTGCCGCAGGATATCACACAGTGTTAGTATTGTTGGGTTGCGTCCACACGAGAATGGACATTTGGTTCCCTGGGACAACTAGCAGTGCCGCACCTTGTGCTGCCACTACTTGTCCCTGGGGAATGTCTGTGCCACGTGCCCTCTGGCATGTGGCAAGTTACCCCAGGTTGGGTAGGAGAGACTGGAGCCAGCACTAGGCTGGCCTCAGCAGCCTTGCCTGGGGGCCTCCTGGGGCTGCAGCAGTGATGATCCTGCAACTCAGAGCCTGGATGGCAGTCAGAGAAGCCAGGCTTTGCTTTTGAGTGGTGCGTGTTGCTCCCTCATGTGCTGCTCTGTTGGGCTTTTTGGGCAGGTTTGTTTTGTTTGTTTTTGATCCCTGGATATCCAGGGGGCCAAAAAAAGACCCCCGTACTGCTTCCTTGCAGCATGGAGAAAAGCTGAATGTGTAGTATGTGGTGCCGCAGATATGTCTGCAGCACTGCATACTGCACAGCTGTGCTTGTCTGGACATGGCCTTAGCGTGAAAATGATTCACAAGATAAACCCAGAGATTTCAACTAGGAATCCATAGTGTTAAAAACATTCTGACCTGTTGTGGTCCTCTCTGTTCTTTGCAACAGAAGAATTGCTCTTATTTTTCCATAGTCAAAAAAACGAGTGAAAACTAAGCTGGTATTTTCTCAGGAGTGCCTTGACTCTAAAGTGCTTGAGAACCACTGATCTAAAGCATACTTCATTTATTATATGACTGCAAGTAACTTAGATAGCAAGGTGACAGAAACTTTAGCATTACTGTACTAGTTAGAAAAAAAGTAAGTTTTTCTGTCTGAATCTAAAGGCTTATTTTAAAAAGGATCATTAAACCTAGAGAATGCCACTGAGCTATACAGCTGGCCTGTCCAGCAGTCCTGATTGTACCATTGGTCTCAAGACGCTGGGCTATTCAGTGGGATGATTTTGGAGCCTCCTTTTGTTCCAGAGTCTTTAACCTCAAATTCAAAAGTCTGTAGAAAGGGTAAGTACTCGTGTTCAGAAAGTTAATGGGATTTTGAAGTGTATGCTGCTTCCTTGGTTGTGAAGCTGGCTTTGGGTTTGGATTTTTTTTTAAGTTTGTACCTGCCAGTGAAATTCCACTTTATTTTAAACAGTTTTTTATTGTGTTCTGAACTGTGTCATTGTGGATATAGACATTATCTGTGTTTAATGTTTCTCTTTTGCTGTGTTTGTGAGCCTTCCAGTGCTCTTATGGTATAGGATATAATTGGTATTTTGATTTTACTGATGGTACTAGTAGAAATAAGTTGCCTGAGGCTTGCTAAAGAGCTCAGCAAGAGAGAAAACCCAAGAATCTTGACTGTTAGTTTTCTGCAGTTCACATTTAAATCCATGCTAAAATCTTTAGCTTTATTTAATTTTTCTAACTTAGTAGGGCCTGAGAATGTGTAGAAAAATAAAATGTCATCATTCCTTCATATTACTAGACTAGAAGTCAAAGTAAAAAAGGTTTAGAAATAGTTCATGGTTCTTCCACTTTTTTGTATCTTTAAAATTTTGCTGCTATCTCATTCCTCATTAGATCTTAAGAATTGGTTACTACTTCCACTTGTTTGAATAATCTGACAATTGCTTGTTCTTCTGAGCAAAGTTTGATGTCTGTCCCAGCCACCTGCGGAGTGTTCGGGATTGAGAGTGTGGTCAGGGGTAGAAAGGTAAGAAAGGTTTATTGACTTAACAAAAACACAACTATGCGTAGTAACAAGACAAACAATGACAGACCGGAACAATTTGCGTCAGCAACTTATCGGCAATCCCCTCTGATGCCTGATGCACAGCAAGTTTCTCTTTCCACAAAGTGCAGCGAAGTCAGGTGTCCCTGATCAGCACTGTCCGCGAGGTACCGGGAAGGACCCTGGAATTCAGCCCTTGGGCTCCTCGAGGTCCATGGGCTCACTGATCCAGGCCAACAGCTAACTAATCCTTTTCACAGAGCTGTATCTTCCTTCAGAATGATTTCCGGATATTCCAGCCAATTTATAGCTTATGAACGGTACTGATAACATCCAGCCACTCAGATTCTTTTTACTTCAGCTGTCTTTAGATTGACCAATAACAGTACAAGCCTTGCATTCTTTTGATAAGGTAATTTTAACTGCGCCACAGGGCCTTACTACTTCAAGGCTTTGCTAAATTTACTAGGCCTTACTTTATACAAGGCCTCACTACATCTTAAACTTTAATTAGGCTTTTAGCAGCGACATACAGCTTAATATCTAAACAAATACAGAAAAACACTTAATCTAATCTTCATAGAACCTTTATCACACAGACATAATTTCAGCTGTCACAATGTCTACTCTAGACATTGGTACAAAGATAACAGCTGGCAGCAAACAGCTGCCTATCTTAATATTCTTCTAGTTGAACTAACAAACATTTGAAAAGCAAGAGGGAGGATGTGTTACTGGAAAGAATGCAGTTTAGCCAGCTGTTTGTTGGTGGTTTGTCGAAATGTGTAACTAACTTACTATTTACATCCAGTGTCTGACGAGATTTTTTTTTTTGTGGCTAGTCACTATTAACTTTGAAAAACCCTGCCATGACAGCTTTACAATGATGAGAAATTTAGTAATCTTTTAATAGTAAGAAGTGATTGGCATTGCACCTTCAGTTTAAAACTCTATCGATGATGACTTTTAATCAGCGCAATGATTCATGTTTCAAACGTAATTGAGCCAGCAGTATTTGCTTTCCAAAGTTCAACAGCAGTATCCCAGTCTTGCTTCCTTCTCAGGAAGCAAGATGAAGCTGTTCACTATTTTAAATGGTGATAACTACACATGGGATATTTTTTTCCATCTGTTATCATTGGAGGTATACAACCCCTACATTTGGACTCTTCCCTGCTCAACACCTATATTTAGATTCTATAGGCTTCAGCCACATGCTTATTCCATCCAGTAAAGAACTGTGATATGGGTGCACATTGTGATCTAAAAAGGCCCCACTGAACTTCAGCTCTTGTACCCAATAATACTTCTCCAGTTCACCAACCTTTTCTTTAGGTTAGAGATTTTCATATAGAGACACATTAAGGTTAGCTCCCTGGAAAGCACCTTTTCCTAAAGCAAAAAGTGAAAACTATCAAACTTTTGTCTGTTCCTGTGGGAGAAAGACAAAGTACCTTGGGGAATGAAATTTTAAATACTAGAGGTGTTTGGGACAGCATATTCTAAAGATGTATGGTTCTCAAGGACATTGGGTTGGGGGTTGGATCCATAATGCAAAATTCCCAATGAAATTTGTAGAGGGGACTTTAGAGGCCCATCTACACATTACATTTTCTGTGTTAATCATGACATAAATGGCCAGGGTGCAATACATGCACCCAATTTAAGGTACCATAAAATAGCAATTCAGCCTAAAAATATTGCACATAAAGAACATTTTTTTTATGGCTGTTTTGTGTGGTTCTTTACATTAAATAGCTGATTGTCCAGCCTGGCTCCAGGACAGTGCTGGGTTGTGGGCCACTGTCTGTAGACTTTCTGATGCAGAGGAAGCCCAGAATCATGATCCTGGGCTCCCCTTTGCTGGCAAGTAGAAAGGGCACAATTGGGAACTGATTCCTGATTCCAAATTTGTGCTTCCTGCTATGCATGTGTGGCATGAAAGGAGGCATGATGGCATCTCATAGCACCTGAATGTGTGCCAGGGACCTAAATATCCTCTTACAGTACTGGTAATTGTTTTGACTAAGACATTGAAATGCTAATTAGCTAAACGCAAGCTTGCTTGCTTTGGAGTTCGATTCTTTCCCTTACAGAACAATAAAGTGATATAAGTTTAAAAATGAAAGAACCATACTAATTTTTCCCCAAATGTTACTTGCTTTTCAAAAGACCACAGACAACACCAGCTACT